AGGGGAGAGGCCCCCTCCCTTCCTGAGGAGCTGTTGGCTTAGGTGGGCAGGAACTGCAGCGTGGCTGTGGGCTGAGCTGGCTGAGCACCTCAGCCTTTAGGGCTCATGGCCAGGGAACACTGTATGATCCTCCTCTCCTGCAGGTCTACCCACCTGGGGTATGGCAGCTACAGACCGGTCTCCCCTGGGGTCACATGCTTTGTTTCCATTCTTGTCCTGGCTGGGCCAGCCACCGTGGGACCAACAGCCCTCCCACACTCCCCCAGATCACTCACCAGGATCGCTTTGCACTTTGTGCAAAAGGGTCTGGCTGTCCCTTGCTGTCTTCATCTCTGCCAAGCCCATGGTCCCTTTGGCTACTGTGTGTGTGTGCGTGCGTGTGCACGTGTGTGTGTTTTCATCTGTTCATTCATTGCACAAGATATTTATTGAGTGCCCACTATGTGCCAGGCACTGTAGTTTGCTGAGCTCCTGTGGGTGTGTCTCTCGATGCCACTCCTGCTTCTCTGGGGGCCTCTTTCTGTGCTTCTTTTTGTCCCCAAATTGCTACCTCTTTGTCAGTCTGGGTGTCTCAGGTTCTGTGTGTCCTTGTGTGCATTTCTGTCTCTCTCCGTCCTTGTCTATCTGCAAGGCCCTCATTGTTTCTCCTTCTTGGTGTCTGTCCTTGCCCCCTGTGCCCTCTGGATTCTCTGGGTCTGTGTAGGCCCCTGGTCTGCCCTAGGCTCATCAGCCTTCCTGCCCTCCCCTTCACTCCCTCCCTGGCTCTGCCAGTCGGTTCCCACAGAGCCATTTTTAGCTCTGATCAGCATGGGAATGTGCCTCATATTCCAAGGGGCTTTGTCCTGGTGCCCCCACCCCTGGTCCCAACCTGATCCCACGAGGGAGTCAGGACAGGAGGATTGATGGTGCTCCCCTTCTTGCCAGAGTCAGAGGCCCTGGAGAGGGGCTCCCCATGGCAGCTAGTCTTTATTCCTCCCTCATGAGCATGGGGTGGGGGGCTCCCCATTCTTGGAAGAAATTGAGAAGACTCCTGGGCTTCAGCCTCTCCCACCCAGCCCTGCCTCTCACTGGCCTGCCCTCCCCTCCCCCGCTCTACACCAGGGACTGGATCTCAGCCTCTGATCAGTTTCACAAGTTGGTTTCCTAAGGAAATCAAATCCCATTTTCACCTAACTCTAAACAGCCCTCGGATCAGTATGGGAACTCCAAATCCCACAGGGCCAGATATGGAGTCTGTGTCTGCCCCCGTCTCCTCTTCATCCTCAGCCTCAGAGCCGCCCCCACTTCTCTCCAGGCTGTTTCTTTTTTTATGACTGTAAACATAGATAGTGCTTTATTTTGTTAATAATAAGATAATGATGAGTAACTTAACCAGCACATTTCTCCTGTTTACACTCGGGGGATTTTTTTGTTTTCTGATGACATAATAAAGACAGATCATTTCAGAATCTGGCCCTTGTGCAAGGGAGGAGGGAGGCTGGCCTAAGTCCAGAATTCCTAAATATGCCACCAGCCTGGGCACCACTGTCCCCTGGTGGCAGCCTGCGGGAGCTTCAGGCGTGGGGCCTCGGAGGAACCAGCTTAAGGCAAGGGGATCCCAGGCCAAGCCTGTGAGTGACAGGTGCCATCCACAGAGCCCACACTGAATGCCCCTACCTTGAGGAGGTGAGCCCACCCGGATCCTAAGAAAGAAGGCGGTAGTAAGAGCACTGTAATAGGAGTCAGGAAGCTCAGGGTGTTCCTGGAACTGGCCATAGAGCTGGGGTTGGGGAGTGGGGGCCAGGTCTCTCCTTTGGGCCTCGTTGTCCTCATCTGACAACAAAATTAAACCTTATACGGAGTTCTTAGCATTCAGAGAAGGAGCCCTTTGAGATGCTAATGAAAGCTGTGCATCATTTTCTCAGAAAAGGACTCACAAAGGTATACCCTGAGGCCCATCAGAGGCTCCCATGATGCTAATTAATGAAGCAGGGACTTTAATGATAATGCTGGTCAGGGCTGTCTATCCATGACACGTGCTTTGTTTTTTGTTTGTTTGTTTTCTTTTTGAGACAGAGTCTCACTAAGCTAGAATGCAATGGCACAATCTTGGCTTACTGCGACTTCTGCCTTCCAGGTTCAAGTGATTCTCCTGCCTGAGCCTCCCAAGTACCTGGGACCACAGGCACCCACCACCACACCTAGCTAATTTTTGTATTTTTAGTAGAGACAGGGGTTTCACTATGTTGGCCAGGCTGGTCTCGATCTCCTGACCTCATGATCCACCTGCTTCGGCCTCCCAAAGTGCTGGGATTACAGGTGTGAGCCACCGCGCCCGGCCTGAACACATGCTTTGAGTGAATACTTCAGACCTAGTTATCACATTAGGAGAAGTAATAGCCCTGCAAGGGCTGGGTGACAGTCTGAAGCCACTCAAAATGCACATTAACCACAGTCTACAGAAACAACTCTTGTGAAAAATTAATCCCATCGGTATGGAATAGGGACAACAAAACCAAATGGCAGTTCTTGTGGAAGAGCTGAACTTGGGCTGGATTAATAGAGGCTTGTGTTCCCAACAAGGGAGGTGATGGTCCAGTGTACCCCACACAGACCTAGTCCCTGGGCAGCATGCCCTTCCTCACCCCCTCACTAGGGAAGTCTGTCCTCACAGCGGAGGGGCCCGGAAGCTGGCACTCCACATGGAGGAGCACAGGAGGGATCCTGTGGACACTGTCCTTAGAAGAATAGTCAGAAGGGCCAGGCGTTGTTTCCTCTAGGAAAGAGGAGGCGGGGGTTGCACAGAAAGGACAAGATTGCTTTCTCCAAAGCCGCCGGGGGGCAAAGTGTAGTATTCCACAAAGCTCATGAGCCACTGAACTTGAACTCCTGGATGGATCTCAAGGCTGGCTCGACATGAGGAACACCTTCTCCACAAAAAGTGGCGTGAACGCCCCAACTCGGGCAGTCCTCAGGCTCTTGAGTTGAGGGATTTCTAGATTGGAGAGGGTGCTGGTGAGAGAGGGTAGGTGTGGCTGACTCTAGGACCCCAAAGTTGGGAGGGCGTAGAATGGAGACTGCCCAAGAATTAAGGGCCCAGCCATTTGGTCTGGGGAGTGTCCTGGATGCTGGCCGGCTGGTTTTCCCAGCCCAGGTTCTCGGAACCTCCTTTCTTTTGCCCTCCCGGCCCCATGTTTGGAAAAGATGCTGGCAGAGGTGGGAGGAGCTGGCGGCGGCGCCTGCCCCCTGGTGGTCGCGAGGGAGAGTTGCTCGTTGCACCTCCCATGGTCCATCCCCTCTGCCCTCCTCAGCCCTCTGCCCCAGCCTCCTCCACTCGTACAAACCAGGTTCTGCCAGTCTCCTCAAGACTCTCCCAGCCTGGCTCACTCCCACATTCTCTGTCCGTCCTGAGTTCCTCTTCCCTTCCCCAAGTCCTCTTGTCTTGCCTGCCTTATTCCATCTGCGGAGACACAGGAGCAGGCCCTGGAGCCCCACCCCCAGTCCCATGAGAGGCAGGATGGGGCCAGGTGGTTGCAGAAACCAGGAGCAGAGTGCTGTAGTCATTAACAGGAAAGCTGGGCCACAAGTTTGTCCCCTCCGTGCCGCTCGGGCAGAGACCAAGGGGCAGAGCTCGTTGGGAAGGTGAACCTGCCCAGGAATCCTTTAACTAGAGCTCTTTGCTAAGGGTCTTGGAAGGGGCCCAAGGGGGTGAAGCCCGGATCACACTTGGGAGCCTCCAAGGCCCAGTGCTCAGCCAGGAGGGCAGGAGTGCTGGTTAGCCCGGGGGGGGCAGTGGGAGGAGTGAAGGTGGAACTCCCAGACTTCGGGGTCAGGGTTGTGCCCTCTGCCACCACACAGGCTCACTCCCCTGGAGGACTAGGGGAGTAGGAATGCTTTCTCAGAGGTGGCAGTGGGATGATGCCTGCTGTTTATTACTTCCCATGCAGATGGTGTCCAGGGCTTTAGGGGCATAGGGTGATGGGGGCAGGGGGTCTGTCCCAGCCATTCCCTACTCACCACTGCCATGGCTGCCTCCAACACTGCAGCATCAAAGCCCAGGACGCTAGAAACAAAGCCGGCTTCACAGTGTTAATTCTGCCCTCAGTTCCAGAGGTGACTCAGCGAGGAACAGGGAGTGGAGACACTGCTATTTAGTCCAGACAGGTCGTGTCTGTGACCACCTGACCCCATGGATGACCCTAAGGGGCCCCTACTTGCCCAGTCCTGGCACCATCCCCACGCCTGGCACCTTTTTTGCCGGTGTCCCCCACTGGTACCCCCCGAGGCTGCTGCCCATGGAGGGCCTGGCTATGCTGGATGACCATGACCTTGAAGGCTCCAGCGGCAGGTGCCAGCTCCAGTGGTTGCCATGGCACCAGAGTGCTTTTTGCAGGCAAAAGCCAAACAACCAGAGTCCACCTGGCAGGCTGCGGCTGCTGTTGCCACTGCAGCCCTTAAGGGCACTGGGCACTTCCTGGTGGGGGGCAGTCCTGGATCAGCTGCGGCCTGATGCACAGCCTGGAAAGTACAGCCAGAGTGGCGGGGCTGCTAAGAGGGGTGCCCCCGTCTCATCTTTGAGTTTCTGCTCCTTCCTCCCTCTGGCCTTCTGAGAAAGTTCCAGAAATCACTCCTGCCCATTCTCAGGGCAGCCCCTTCCCCACCCCTGACAGCTGGGAGCCGGAGATGACGGAGGAAGACATCCTGAGCACTTGTGTTTAGGACGTCACTGGTTCATCTCCTGGGTCAGCCAGCGTCCTTTTAATCCACAGCCTCATTCCTTCTAAGGGTAGATTCTACCTAGAGGGTCAAAGGCAGAGAAGCTGAGTGAGAGAAATAGGGGTCCTGCCCAGGTCTACAAGTTACAGAGCCTTCGGAGCTGGGTGCAGGGGAGGACGTGTGCAGGCTGCTACCATGACTTTGGCATAAAGCCCAGGTTGTAGGGGTCATCAGGAGGGGCTACAGCCCCCCTCAGCCCCCCAGGCAGGGGTCAGTTCCTCACCATTGCCACTCAGCCACAGCAGTCCGGAAATGAGCATTTTAATGCAGAAATCATGATAATTTACAAATGAATCACTTTCTGGGCCAGAGCCAGAAGGGCCCAAGGAGCTCTGAGGGCCGAAAGGAGGTGGAGGCTGTTCAGCGTCCGGGCGACCAGCCCAGTCAGCACCTTTCTGATGGGATCCTGCCCAGCCTCCCACGCTGGGTCCTGGGGGGCCCTGGCCCCCACCCCATCCTCTTGGCTCCCACTAGTCATTCCCAGATAGGAAGACCTCAGGTCAGCTTCAGGACATAAGGTAGAGCTGGAGAGGCATCCCTGGAAGGAGGCCTTGAGGCCAGGGAGGGAACAAGGCAGGAGACTGCTGGTTCTGGTTTTGGCCACCTCATCCTTGGCCATGTCCCCTCCGGCCAAGCCATAGTATGACGCAGAGCCAGGCTCTAGAGGCCCAGGGCCTTACCACTCCCTCTCCTGTCCCCCCAGCAGGGGAACAGAACAAGCACAGGAGAGCACGTTGGGGAGCCTGTTTCCTGGGGCTGAGGTTTGGGAAGAGGTCGTTTGATTGGATCCGGTTTGGAGAAGGTGAAGGGTCTCAGATGAGGTGGCTGCTGGGGGAGCTGTCATGCTCAATTCTTGGCCCCCACCCATCACCAAGATATGTACATCCATGTGTCAGGGTTGGCGTGATGCTGGTTTGGAGCTCAGCACCTCCCACATGGGGCATGCCGGGGGAGACGGGCTGGAGGCTCAGGGCACTGGAGGTAGAAAGGAGCCCTCCCCGCCTCCTTCCCCAGGCCAGGAAGGGGTAAAGACACATGTAAGGCAGCCCCAATTCCAGCAGGGCCTGAGTCTGGGAATGATGTTTCCCAGGGGTGGTTATGGCCCAGGCCCTGGCTGCAGGCACTTCCTCCCAAGCCTGGTGGGAGGGGACTCCCAGAAGTGGGTCCTGTCAGCCCATCCGGACAGGAGAATGAGGTCTTCAGTGGCCACCACAGGGGGCTGGCAGCAGGGACAGAGCCTTCTCCCTGGACACCCACCTGTCCCCTCTCCCACCTTGTCCAAGGATGTGGACCCCAGAGCGCAGAATTGAGCTCTGGGGAACAGGTTTGGCCAGACAGATGGGTGGGGAGCGATGGGGTGGCTGGTCACTTTGGCATCTCCAAGGCTGACACCTGAGGCTTCACCTTGAAGTACTGGTTGAATCGGATCACTGCGTACCTGGGGGAAGACAGAAGGAAGCTGGGTGTGAGGAAGGAAGGCAGGTGGGCTGTGCTGGGGGTGCTCACATCATGAGGGAAGTTTCTCACCGGCTCTAAGCCTATCTAGGTCTGGGGAGGTCATTCCCAAACCAGGCTGATTAGTATTATTATTTCTTTTTAATTTTTATTTATTATTTTTTTTGAGACCGAGTCTCGCTCTGTTGCCAGGCTGGAGTGCAGTGGCGCAATCTCGACTTAATGCAACCCCCAACTCCCGGAGATTCTCCTGCCTCAGCCTCTGGAGTAGCTAGGATTACAGGCATGCGCCATCACACCTAGCTAATTTCTTTTCTGTATTTTTAGTAGAGATGGAGTTTCACCATGTTAGTCAGGATGGTTGATCTCCTGACCTCGTGATCTTCCCACCTCAGCCTCCGAAAGTGCTGGAATTATAGGTGTGAGCCACTGTGCCCAGCCTTATTTTTTTTACTTTTAATATTTATTTATTTTGAGACAGGTTTGGCTCTGTCACCCAGGCTGGAGCGCAATGGCACAATTTTGGCTCACTGAAACCTCTGCCTCCCGGGCTCAGATGATCCTCCCACTCAGCGTCCAGAATAGCTGGGACTACAGGTGAATGCCACCGCACCTGGCTAATTCTTGTATTTTTTGTAGAGATGAGGTTTTGCCATGTTGCCCAGGCTGATCTCAAACTCCTGGGCTCAAGGAATCTGCCTGCCTTGGCCTCCCAAAGTACTGGGATTACAGGCGTGAGCCACTGTGCCCGGCCAATTTTTTCTTCTTATATCAGACTAGAGCAACCCTTCCACAAACATGCTTGTTTGGAGTTTTGTTTTACGGTTCTCTATTGGTAAGTATATGCATATTGCTGTGCACATGAATCTCTACAACTTTTTCATTTTGGACGACGGAAACTAGACGGATGAAGCAATATCCCCATTTTTCCCTCTCCCCAGCCCCTGGCAACAACTCTACTTTGTTTCTATGGATTTGACTACTTTCGTTATCTCTTAGAGAACGATATTTGTCTTTTTGTGACTGGCTTATTTAGCATAATGTCCTCAAGGTTCATCCACGTGGTAGCAAGTGACCAGATTTTCTTCATTTTTGAGGCTGAGTAATATTCTATTGTATGTATATACCATATTTTATTTATTCATTCATCTGTTGACAGACATCTGGGTGGCTTCCATCTCTTGGCTACTGTGCCAAGAAGAATGTTGCTATGAACACAGGTATATAAATATTTCTTTGAGAGCTTGCTTTCAATTATTTTGGCTATCCACCCAGAAATGGGATTGCTGGATCATACGGAAGTTACATTTTTATTTTTTGCGGAACCAGCGTACTGTTTCCCACAGTAGCTCACCATTTTACATTCCCACCAACGATGCAGAAAGGTTCCAATTTCTGCACATCCTTACCAACAATTCTTATTTCCGGTTTTTTTAATAGCGGCCATCCTAATGGGGTGAGGCGACATCTCACCATGCTTTTCATGTGCATTTCTCTTGTGAACACTTTGAAGACAGGGTAGTGATTCCCTTTCAGCTGAAGGTAGGTGAGGAGGAGAAGGGCAAGGCCCTGGACCAGAATAGAGGAAGAAATGATTCCTGGTCCTTCGGGACACAGGAACCTCACAGGACAGGGACCCCCTGAATCATCAATATGCAAGCAGCGGCTAGCTATATATGTTAGGAGTTACTGAAGGAGTAGCTGGGTCTGTCGCCCAACCAGAAGGCAGCATGCTAACACTTAACCGCCGCATGACTTCAGCAAGTCACTTCCACTCTCCGGACCTCTGTCCTCTCTGCTGTAAAATGAGGGTAGGACCTGCGATCGTTCAGACTGATTTTCAACGATTCCATCCACCACCAGGCTCCGTGGATAGGTGCGCTGGCAGCAGGGCGGGGAGTGGGCAATGGGGACTAGCAGACCTCCTACGAGGCACAGGGAGGGTGTGACACTTCTCTTTTCAGAGTGGCACTTTCCTGGCATCCCCTGGCGGCAATGGCTCTGCTGGAGATGAGCTGGACCGTGAGCTGGAATGGGGGCGAGTCAGCAGAGCAGGGGAGCGGACTCTGGGCATTCTGCCTGGGCTGTCCTTTGCCTGCACCCTGGGCTCAACCAAGGCTCTCCCTTTTGTCCACACCCCGCCATCACCCCCGCACTCACCTGAGGAAATCAAAGTCGATGGTGGAGTACTGGTTCTGGATGAGGGCCCAGAGAGCCCAGAAGAAGTGAGACGCCTGGAAACAGACCAGAGAGGGTCAGCCTGGCAATCTCTCCATGCCTCCTTCTGACTCTACAGAGCTGCAGGGATGCAGTCATTGTGGAAGACACACAGCTAGGACCCTGGATGAGATGTGGTGGGGTCTCCCCAGCACAGGCTAGGGAAATTCTGGAGCCCAAGTCACTGCACAGCATTTGGAGCCTCCACTCTTATTAGAGAAAGGTGGGCAGAACCAGTTCTACCAAGGCCCTGGTGTTCACCAACCCTCAGGCAGGTAGTCAGCAGTGAGGAATTTCAGGGGGTTCCCACAACCTAAGCAGGACCTACACGCCACCTCTGGCCTCTTCCCTACCCAGGGGAATCTCTTGTAGTCTTCAAGGCCAAGGTATCCAGGCCAAGATGGACTTCTAAGCCAGAGCTTAGGCCTAATGGCCAGTGGGGGCTGGTGCCCCTCAGGAAGGTGCAGGGAAGGAAGAGCAATGGGCAGCAGTGCCCTGGCCACGTGTCTGCTGGAAGATCCCTACGCTAACCTCCTCCACTCCTTTCCCTCCCTCCTACTGGGAGACTGGTTGGGTTGGAAAAATGAACCTAGATATGGAAACAAGAACCCCCAAGTCTGGGCATTTGCTGAGCACCAAACTGTGCTCCCCTCGTGGCTGGAGGTACCCACCAGGCCAGGAACTGGGTGGGAGGAGGGTGAGGACTGAAAAACGACCTGTCGCACACTATGCTTATGACCTGTGTGATGAGAGAATCTGTCCACCAAACCCCAGTGACTTGCAGGTTACCTGTGTAACAAACCTGCATGTATACCTCTGAACCTAAAATAAAAGTTAAAAAAAAGAAAGCCAGGGAGCTGTGGTTCCCATCTACCCCTGAACAAACACTAGTGATGCCATCACTTTCCCACGTGAGTGCCCCCACCCTTGTGGCTCTCCCACCCCATTCCCACCCCATCCCAGATTCCTCCCCACTCAGGGGTTGGCTACACTTTATTTCCTTTCCAGTATTTAAAAGGGGCATAGTAAGCTAGCATGTATGAACGATCACTAAAAAACTACGCAAGAGGAAGGCTTGTTCTTAAGGTCTTAAAGTCTTAAGACTGAGGAGGAAGAGCCTAATGTAGAATCAGTTTTGTGTCAGTGAGGAAAACAGAATAGGGAATCTGAAATTACAGAAAAATAAAGATTTTATTTAGCTCTCTTCTGTACTGTGAAATTCAAGGCAGCTGACTTGTCTTCTTACTTACGCACAGCTGACATGAATGAGACTAGTTAGAAATCCCTGAGCACACACCAGTGGAGCCCTGGCATGACCAGGTGCCTTGGATAAGGAGCACTCGGAATTAAGAAGTGACAGCACAGTCCTTTGAGCAGGAAGAGCCTGTTGGGAAAAGCTTACTTAAGAGTTCTGAGTCAGTGGAGGTAGTTCAAAGAAGGATTAGAGCTTCACATGCTCTGTCTTCTCTAAAGGTTAGGATATATATGCACACACACACATAGCCAGGCGTGGCGGCTCATGCCTGTAACTGTAGCTACTCAAGAGACTGAGGTGGGATGATCATTTGAGGCCAGGAGTGAAAGGCCAGCCTGAGCAACATAGCAATACCCTATCTCTACAAAAAGTTTTAAAAAATTAGCCAGGGGTGGTGGGACACACCTGTGGTCCTAGCTAGTCGGGAGGCTGAGGTGGGAGGATCGCTTGAGCCCAGGAGTTTAAGGCTGCGGTGAGCAATGATTGTGTCACTGTGCTCCAGCCTGGGCGATAGAGTGGGACCCTGTCTCAAAAAAAAGTGTGTATATATGTATATGGATGAATTTGACTGCAGCATGAAGGGCTGAGGTTAGACA